TTTTATTTTATTTTATTTTATTGCAAAATATTAAGGGGGTTCAAGTGCTTTTGTTACAAGGAAGAATTGTATAATGCTGAAGTCAAGGCTTTTAGTGTGCCTGTCAACAGAATAGTGTACACTGAATCCACTAGGTAAGTTTTTATCGTGCAACTCCATCCCACCTTCCACACTTCTTATTTTCCAACTTCCTTTACAACACTATATGACTGTGTATACCTATAATTTACCTCTCTTAGTAGTGAGACCATGTGGTTTTTGTTTTTCCATTCCTGAGATACTTCACTTAGGGTAATATTCTCCAGTTCCATCCAGGTTGCTGCAAAAAGAAACATTCTTTCATTCATCTTTATGGCTGAGTAGTACTCCAAGGCACATATATGCCACAATTTCTTTATCCACTCATCAATTTATGGGAACTTAGGTTGATTCCATATCCTTGCAATAGTGAATTGTGCTGTCATAAACATTTGAATGCACATGTCTTTATTATAGAATGTCCTTTGTTCCTTTGGGTAGATGCCTGTTAGTGCTATTGCTGGATCGAACGGTATTTCTATTTTTAGCTCTTTGAGGTATCTCCAAATTCTTTTCCACAGAGGTTGTACTACTTTGAAGTCCCACCAACAGTGTAAGAGTGTTCCTGTCTCTCCGCATCCTCGCCATCATTTGATATTTTGGGATTTTTTGATGGAGGCCAGTCTCACTGGGGTTAGGTGATATCTCATTGTGGTTTTGATTTGCATTTCCCTAATGATTAGAGATGTTGAGCATTTTTTCATATGTTTGCTGGCCATTATTCTGTCTTCTTTTGAAAAGTTTCTGTTCATTTCCTTTGCCCATTTGTTGATGGGGTTGTTTGATTTTTTCTTGTTGATTTTTTTGAGTTCTAGATAGATTCTGGTTATCAGCCCTTTATCAGATGTGTAGAAAGCAAAAATTTTCTCCCATTCTGCAGGCTTTCTATTCATTCTAATGATAGTTTCCTTCTCAGTGCAGAAGCTTTTTAATTTGATTAGATCCCATTTATTTATTTTTGTTGCTGTGGCGATTGCTTTGGAGTTCTTCTTCAAGAATTCCTTGCATAGGCCAATGTCTGAAAG